AACGATGCAATGTTCTGCGTAAGGAGTTGGTTCGTTACTACTCTCGAAGACTGTATGATTTTCTTGTAAGAGACTATTTAAGTTCTTTCTTTCTTCTGGTTGCAAAGAACTACCTTCTTCGTCTCGTAGAATTATCTGAGAAAAGGTTACAGTGTTGACTGAGACTAGCGAAACAGACTCCTCTGCGGTAAAGTTGTAACATTCATGTGGATTTTCACCAAAGAAGTATGTCTTGTTTGGAATATCAAGGATAACGTTAGCCTTGTGAATGAAGTCTACACCTAGTAATGTACGACTGTTTTGATGTTCTGGGACAGCTAACATCTCTATAGGAACACTTCTACCATGAAATATGATTTCAATGTCAAAAATATGGGCGGTAACTTTTCTTCTAATACCATCAGCAAGTGTCATTTCAAGGTCGTTCTTGATAATGTATGGTATATTGTCTTTTAATAGTAGCTGAGCTAATGCAGATCCGGCAACACTGGATTTTGCACCTGTATCTAAGTAAGCATATCCATTATGCTGATGTATACTTATGGGAACCAATGGCCTAGTCGATGATGATTCGTGGTTGATTGTGTTACAGAGGAATTCGGTACTCACCACAGAATGGTCATCTTCATTCTTCTTCGGAGAACATTTTGGACAGTTGCTTCTGATGTAACCTGGATTTCCGCATCCATAGCACGCAATACCATCATTCTTCTTGGGCTCTTTTTGAAATACAGCTACGTTACTTGAAGCAGTTGGTTGTGGTACAGAATTTCTTGCATCTGCTGACTGAGTTTTCTTTAGCTTGCGACAGTCGTCTTTTACATGGCGAAAATTACGACAATACAGACATCTTGGACGTTTATCTTTGTCTGCGTGGACGTTTGTCTCTTCATTTCGTGAGTCGGTGCGTTCAAACGTTTCTTCAACTAGTTTAGCTTGGGATAGAAGTTCGTTGAAGTTGTTGATTTTGTTGCGAGAAAGTTTTTCACGTATTCTTCGATGTAGGAGTCCATATACCATGTCTAATTGAGTTTCTTCTGTTAGCGTATTATTTGGAAGTTGTGCTAGCGTAGAACGGGCTTTACAAACGAAAATTTCAGTAGGTGTACTTTCATCTTGTTCATTTGCAAATAATTCACGATACACACGATAGGCAGGTTTTTGCGGGCCAAACGTAAGCTTCAAAAGATCAATTGTTTCTCTTCAGGTACTTATGGTAACTTTTACACCTTGATACCATTCGGCAGCGAAACCATCTAGTAACATCGGAAGTCCTTTCAATGCATTTTCATCTGATACTTGCGCACAGTCTTTATATATCGATACGGAGTCAATAAATGCTTGAACACTGGAGATTTTTGCACCATCAAATCTCGACAAATAACCAGTAAAATTTCCATTTTGAGCTGAAGCAACTTGAGTAGGATTTTGATTACCTACGGAAAGTCTGGCTAAAAGTTGTTGAAACTGTTCATCACTCATTGTTATTAACGTCATGTTTTCGTTATTTTGAGGGTAGTTCTGACGGGAACGTAAATTATATCTGTTTGTGTCCGTGGTTGCACAGAATTCGATGGGTATTTATAAATACTGTTGATTTTCTTGAACCGTGAGCACACTGATGTAAAAGAAAGTCTTATTTAAGTGTTTTGTTAGTCCTTAATCAGTTAAACCATTCGCGAATTGAAATTTCGTGGTGAACTGGGAGCAAAACAAATTTCTATCCAATCCAAGGATTTTCTTCCAAAACGATTACGTCAAGAATGATTTGGATACGTGGTATCGCTGCTGACTTTTTTGGGCGTATGACGTCACAACTAACGATTCGGCGGGATTAACCTCTTCTTGAGCAATAATTTTCAAAGAATTGATTAATAAAAGCTTTTGGACTTACAGTTTCTTGTTTCAGGAAAGGATTGCTAAAGATCCGGTATTGCTTTACGACTGGCTTATTCGGGGCGAATCACTATGACTGCAAGACTTCGGTTTTTTGGAACAATTCTACGATTTTTCACCTTTTATGATCCACGATTGGGCGCCAATTTGTGACGGGGTTCCGTTACATTTATTTTGTGGGGTGTCGAACCATAAATTTTGTGACAAAACTCGAAGAATTTAACAAACACTTTTATTAATAAACTTTACGTGACAATACTTTCACACTTCTTAAGATACTAATCATATGTTATTCTTCTTCCTACTGTCCCTCGCTCTCTTGATAATGGACTCGTCCGATCGGTCCGGTCCAAGAGGGGCGCTATATAATAGTTCTGTGTTACAACAAGTTAAACCAAGAAAACAGACATAACATACAAGCGATGCTATTCATTTATTGCACCACGAGTATTCAATCATCTACCAGAAAATCTAAAGATTGTTGACACTTTACGGCAATTCAAGGCTGGGCTTAACCAATGGCTGTAAAGCACACCCAAATCAGAGATTCATTTGCTCATAGACTATAAGAACAACTAAAATGTGACATATGTAGATTTTGTTTTTGTTTCTGTTTTTATTTGTTTTAGTTTAGTCATAGTCTAGGAAATTCATTAATTATTAGGTTATTTTACTTATTTATTATTTTTTTTTTGATGCTACGGATTAAATTAGGATAGCAAACAAAGGTCAAATACACGAGTCAAAATTATTCGTGCAGGGACGGATAAACCCACGAGCAAGGAAACTTTTGTGGGGAAATGTTTGTTTCTGTACGATTATTTTGTCCTTAATGTTTAAAGCATTTGTAAACGATTGTTATACAGAAATAAACTTATTATTATTATTATATATATTATTATAATCATTAAAACCTTACCGTGTCCTTTTCTCGGGACAAAGAATTCACGAAACCATTGGAAAAAAATATCCAATGTAACATACGCCGACTTTTCACCTATGATAACTTTACCACCGGGTGGCAAACCATCCTCGAATTCTATTTTTTTTATTCTTTCCCTTGAAAATACAACAAGGTGGTAGGAAACAAAAAATGTTATAACAGAAATGGTTTCCCCCTTTTCAGCACTCGTAATACAATTTACTATCTTTGCACCTTTATTTGTCACGACTTTTCCGGGATTATTGTTCAACTGCAATCCAGTTTTTATCGAGGTTAAAGATTTTCTGTGGAACATTTAACAAATTATTTTCTCTTAAAATGTCTCCTAGTAATTCAAAATATTTAACACATTCTTCTTGTGTCATTCCTTTAGCTCTGGCGATGGACAGTCCTTGAGCTTTACGTACTGCCTTATAAATGTCTCGTCATAAATGACAAAAACCAGTCTTACCTGCTTTTTTTGCCTCATTATTAAAAGTATGGGGAATGTTTTTTTGAACAGCAAAAGAAAACGCAAGTTTTCTGATATCATGGGCAGAAAGCGCCAAGCCGTGTGATGCCATGTTTTGTGTGTATTTGGATAAACTGGTTTCTTGTTCAGTATTAAGGCAGCTTTTGCGACTTAAAGGAATTTTATTCAGATTTCCTGATTCCTTTCGTCTCATTATGGTTCTAACAGGAATTTTATAAATTCGACTTATCTCCCGAACTGGGCCTCTACCAGCAATGATATCCCCAATGGCATTCTGAAGATCTACTTCTGACCACTGCCTTCTTAGATTTTTTCGGACGTAAGAATGTGGCATTATTGTTATCTAAAGAATAAAAAAAATATTTTATTTAATAGATGCGTTATAAAAATGTTTGGGGTAATATGCCGCACTACCATTTTAGTGGTGCATATTATCCCAGAATACAAAATATATGTTTTAACTCAGAATCGCCAACTCCAGTGTATACCTGGTAAACACTACATACGAAAAATGTTAGGTTAGAGGACTTTACCAGTAATATAATGTTTAAATCGAATTATTAATACCTGGTTCGACAAACTTTTGCGAAATATGTTGTAAATTTTTTTTTGAGATGACCTTACCAGTTTTTTAGCACCAATCGTTTAAGTTTAATCACAACAATCAACCAAGCATGCGCTCAGCGCTATCTTTTTAAACAAAACAGGTGTCCACTGCTGGAATGTTGCCAACTTTCTTGTACGACCTAAAAATAGAGTGCGGCATATTACCCGATGCGGCATATTTCCCCGCTTTACCCCATTTAGGTGAAATTTTGAAATTTCAGTTAAAAAATATAATATCTTAAAAACATGACAATATCGGTAGTAGATTAAAATTAGAGGAACAAATTGCAGAAAAAATCCGGTGGCTCTCAAAATTTAAAAAGGCAATTTTTCTTTAATTTTCAAACTTGAATAACTCGGTTATTTTTGACTTATTTTAAAAACGGTAAAGAGAAAATATGTTTCTTTTATCCAGATCTACCAGCTCTAAAAATATTTGCACTTATTTAAGACTCGCCATGTATAAGAACTACATTTTACATTCGATATGTGAACCATGAGAGAGGTCTCAAAATGCAGTATTTTTTTCATTTGATCTGTATCTCATGAACGAGGCAGGGTACGACAATTTCGATTATGAGATCGTAAGTTTCACGAAAACAAGTGAATGATTGTGAAACAGCAAACTTTTCTCTTTAGCAATAATGGAGATACACGGCAAATAAAGGCGAAATTTGCCCATACACAAAAAATATCGAAAATGTATCTCTTTCAGTATGCATTTTCTCTATTTAAATAAATTTTTGGGAAATCGAAAAAGAGTTGCTCGGTTCTTGCTGTAAAACCAGAGCAAGGCGGCTCCAGCTAACGCCGCCATGTATGTACTGCTATATTGAGAGAACTGATTGCAGGAAACGATCGGTCCTTTAACAATTCATTAAAAATCTCATTTTCGAAAAAAAGTGGAGCTGCCTGGTTATTGCAGCCACCCCTTCAATTGCTTCAGGACTTCATGATGTCACTTCGTAATTTGATTTTTCTGGTTGAGATTAGCATTTTTAACTTCTGTTTAAATTTATTTTTTTAGTTTTTGTCTATGATTTTTTATTAATATTCAACAATTAAGTCGTGTTATTATTTTAGCTGATCAAGAAGATGTGAGGAGCTTTTTCGACAGATCTCCACAACCAGGACCATCCACAGGTGTCGAAGCTGATTTTGATTTCTTTTTAGAAACAAAATCTGCAAAGGGACGTGAAGGCCTCAAGGTAAACTGATATAATTTCGATGTAATCTATTACTTCGTAATCTCAGTTTTCCGCATTTGTAATACAGGATGGCGCCTCTCATACGCCGCGGAAGCTCTAAGGAGAACGGTAGTTTATATCGAAATGAAATTTGGCAGCATAATATGTAGGTTAACTGAAAGCATGTTATAAAAATATATAGAATTATACAGGGTGTCCCCAAAAAAAGTTACACATCAAAGTTGTGTTTTTTCTAATGGAACACCCTATATATTAATTGATTTTCGGATTCTAGGAAAAAAATAAAGGTGAGTTTTATTAAAGTAGCATATAGCTAAAATCTAAGGATTTTGACATATTTCACATTTCGTGAAAATGAAGAGTAAATTCTAAATTTAGATAACAGCTACCTAAATTTTAGTTGACCTTGTATAGCTTGATATTTAATTACAGTAACCATTGTATGTTAAACCAAATTGAAATTTGACCCGAAAAGTTATACAGGGTGAGACAAAATTAATATAGAACATTAGTCACCTTTACAAGCAAGTTACTCCTTTATTATAACTGGAACACCCAGTATTTTATTCCGGTGTTCAATGGGGAATTTATATATCTTTAAAATATTATTAAGGTTGCCTACCCCTCAGACAAAGATTTTCCTAGATATTTTAATTTTTATGCTTTTGCGTCAGTAGATCTTTTTTATTTGAAAAAATCTTGGGTGGCTGTGATATACCTTTTGTTAATTTAACAAAAATAAAGATTGTAGAGTAAAATACTCAACAGTAATAAAAATATACACTTTTAAAACATATTTTAATTATTACAGAATTAGAATAGATATAAACCTATAATTATGTGACAAAAATTAACTAGATGAAATCATATGCTCAAAATGCTTCCTTTCCTGACAACTGCATAAAATGATTGTCTTTTCAAAAGTATCTTTTCATTTTAAAAGGCATTATGTGGAGTTCTACCGCAAAAAGCAGCTACAATAATTTCTCTCATGTTGTCGACAATAGTTCAAATTTTATAAACACTGTCTTTAACATATCCCCATAAAAAACCCAGACCAGATAAAATCAGTAGCATTTAAGTATTGTAACACTGCCTTCACCAACTAATAGAATCATATCAATTCTCTCTGATGTAGGATAAGTTTGCATTTTCGGCAAATTTTTTTTGTTTTTTTTTGTTTTAACTGACACAAAATGATAACTAGTTATTAAGTTGGACTAGGTTGGACTAATTAGACTATGTTGAAGTAACGTCAGACATATTACAGCCACATAGAATTTACCAAATAATAAAGATCTACCCAAAAAAATCCTGTATGGGTATTTCGCCACTGCTGCAAGAAAACCTACAAAATAAAATAATTAATTTTTGTAAACACTTCTGCGTTTAAACCTAAACGGACGCTGCTTGTCAGAAGTTATGTTTACGGTAATACAAATTTGCCTAACAAAGCCAAAAAAATGCTTAACGTTTCGGAAAGTTATCTCTTTCCGTCGTCGGAAGCAAAAAAATACAAAGAATAAAGAAAAAAAAACTATTTAAAATATTTAAATGAACTACTCGAGAACACTTTACTTTTATTTAAACAGATACGTCTACAAGAAAACCGTTGACGTTCTGTTAAAATGACATTTTTAACTTGATATTTAAACTTCAAAATTAACAATTACTACGTGATAACAATTACTTAATAAGTTAAAACCAAAAAGCCCCAAACTTTCTGTATGATTATTTTTAAATTATATTCGCGTCCAGTCCGAATGTATTATCTTGATTTTTCTATACGTAGTACCGTCCCTGCGTGCACAATTTTAAAGCTATAAGCTAAATTCCCTCCCGTTGCTAGTCTAGGTGGCGGCGCCGGCCCTGGCGCGGCGGTCGGTATTCATTCGTCTTTCGTGCATGGTGCAGTGCGGATTGCAGCTCTCCGATTTCTTCGTCGTAGATTGATGAAGCCATTTTGTTTATTCTCTACTCTTTTTGAATATTACTATGTAATACACGATGTTCTACAGCTAGGTAGAACACAAGAAACAATATGTAAGTATTCTATAATATTTATTTTTAGAGAAAAACGAAGTGGACGTAAATAACGGAATATTAGAATTAGATAAAAGAAGAAAACAATAAGAATATCATATATATCGGACTGTTGTACTCTCAGTGAGACAAAGTTCGTACGTGTAAAGAATGTCCTTCTCCTTGTGAGAGGAATTCTCATTTATATAAGGTTCTATATCTCGCAGTCAAGATAATATTATAAATGCCAAAGTGTTGCATCTCCGAGTGAGTCAAATTTCGTACTTTTAGAGGATGCCCATATGAGAGAGATTCCTTTTATAAGCCAATACTGATATCCCACTATCGAGAGATAAATTACAGGTATCACAGGTATAATATTTATTTTCAGGTAATTAAATAATAGAGGGACATAATTGAAGTGGAAGCAAATTAGAGGCAAGGAGGAGACAATGGAAGTAGACAAATGGAGAAAGCAATAAGAATATCGTATATATCGAACTGTTGTGATCTCAGTGAGATAAAGTTTCCTATTTAGAGAATGCCCTTCTCCTTTGTATAAACACGGGCTGTTCTTCTCCCAGTGTTCTTTTCATAGTGAGACAAAGGTTAGTACTTTTAGAGAATCCTCTACTCCGTGTGAGAGGGATTCCTTTTTTTAAGATATTCCAGATCTCGCTATTGAGATAATATTATAATAACCGAAGAGTTGTTGTCTCAATGATACAAAATTTTGTAATTTTAGTGAATGCCCTTCTCCGTGTGAAAGGGATTCCTTTATAAATGACGTTCTCGGTCTCGCTATCGGAGAAGTAGATTTCACAAAAGAATTTCAAGAGACAAATCTAAAAATTTTAGATCCTCAAAAAAAACCGTATATTTCAACAGGAAAACTCCTCCAGACATTATATTTATAAGGTTGTACGTTCAAAAAGCAGGACAGTCGCTATTTAAGTGTCACTATCTCATAACAGATCAAACACAAGCTCAGCAACTAGGAAGAGGAAAATAACCAAATCTAGCGGTTTGTGCAGTTGTTGGGGGAAGGGCAATCCAAAGAGACTACAGAACATTCGACTCTCGATGATGATACATTCTTCTTCGGGAGACGAACTCAGTCTTAGCCAATGATCTGGCTTCAGCACAGAACAAGGTCCAACTTTTATATCTGCTAAGCGGCGAAATCTATTTGAGAAAATATTTTAACTCCCTAATTTACCAAGGAGTCATGGCATGTCGCCTATTCTCTTCTGTGTCATAATTGTTAAGATGAAGTTCAAAAAAAATTATCTGGGTTATAAAATTTAACAATAGTCGTCGTAGATTCAATATTCTTCTAAAGGAAGAGAAAAATATTCATAAATATATCATGGAACAAATATGCACGGTGTTATAGATACCGGACGCATAGTCCTAATGTGGTTGACGGTATCTTGTACAAAAGGCATCAACTATTTTTCCCTCTGAAGGATTTTCAAATGAAAATGATGAGGAAGGACCTCTGGATAAATTTACGTTTGAACCTTGCTTAGAGGAAAAGATACAAACAACGAAATGTATCCAGATATTTGTGACAGATATTCGAATATGTCTTTACCTTCCTTCTTTGAAAAAGAAGGGGTGGGGGGTGATACATGAGGCACGAGCGGCCAATTCATTAGGTACCCTCCAGTTTGCTGCCTTGCCAGCCTCCTACCATAAAATAGGCGACAACCAACTTAACGTTGACCTCCAAGTCTTTAAAAGTTTTAAACTTAGCTGACCAGCTAATAATAATAACTCAAGTATGTATATAATAATAAAATAGCTAATATTTTAGATTTTCATAGCTATATATATATATATATATATATATATATATATATATATATATATATATATATATATATATATATATATATATATATGAAATGAACAAAATTCTTACAGCTTTAGTGTATGTTAATAAATAATATTTTCTTGCCTTTAGCTGTGTATTTTTTCTAATTTCGAAAAATCGAAAGTAGAGAAAAAATTAAAAAAAATAAAAAGTAAAAAGAAAATTGCTTTGCTTGTCGTAAAGGGGGGAACCAAGCTCCACTCCCACAACCGGTTTCTGAGCCTACCCTTCATCAGGTGGGCTGTCCAGGAGCTGGTTCTCACCGATACGGCAAGCAAAACTTCTTCTATATCAATAGACGATGTCGTAAAGTGTCGGTGAGATATTAGTGCATCTCCCGTCAAAAGATGGTAAAGAGCGTTTTTCGGCCCGCTCAAATATATGAAATGAACAAAATTCTTACAGCTTTAGTGTATATTAATAAATAATATTTTCTTGCCTTTAGCTGTGTATTTTTTCTAATTTCGAAAAATCGAAAGTAGAGAAAAAATTAAAAAAAATAAAAAGTAAAAAGAAATTTTCTTTTTCTATAAAAGTGTTGTGCTTTTGGCCAATACTTTATACATTTCGACAAAGTGACAGACTTTGTGCGAATTATCGTTATATAATATATATTTTCTCCTCTACAATACACTTTCGAAAGAGATGATTATAATAACATTAATGTAAACTTTCACAGACTTTGAATTTTTTCTTAAATATCTCTGGATGGTTTCTCGTTGAAAGAGGCTTTTGTAATATATGATGTGTCTAAGGTTTACTGCATTAAAATTTTACCATAAATGTTCCCTAACAGTTCTACTTTCTTATCTAGAAATTCCGGAAAGAATAGACATATCAATTAAATCATAAAGTGGAAATAGTTTTCTTGCTGTTTTACCTATATAAATAGATTATATAATTCTTGCCGTGAACTGCTATGAAAAATAATAAATCATATATTGGTTTCACGTTTAACCTTAGTTATCAGAGACAGATGTCAGTTTGTTTTTAGTCAGTATATAATTATATATGCATATCATAGTTACTGAAAATTATCAAAAAAAATAAATAATACAAATAATAATAAAACTTCTGGAATAAAATTGACACAGATCAA